TGTAAGTATGTTTACGGAGACAGATTGTTGAAGGGAGCCTCTCTCTCAACATCCTGGTATATCCCTTTTAGGTGTATGGAACTACGACAGCGAAACTTGGTACGAACTAATTTCCGTCTTGGACTTGTCAAGAGTGCAGAGGGTACTGCGCAGTTCAGATATCGCCGAATAGCCAGGTGATCATTAATGGCTATGTTGATCGTCAAGTGGAGCATACACCAACTAGTGTTTATCTCACAGTATCTGATGAGTCATCATTGTTGGATGATTTGGAAATATCGCCAAAGCCTTATTCAATACCGTTATAGAAGGACTGGTGTTGTTCCTGTGACCATATCGAACATCACAACCAGGAATTTTACCATACAGCCTCGAGTTGTGTTGTGTGAACTTTAGCCGGTTAAGGTAGAAGGATGTTTACAGGATGTTGACACGGAATCATTTGATACTCCTACATCTAAGGATACAAATATGGATTACCTACTACAGCTGATGAAGTTTGATGACAGACTTACTGAAGAGGAGTTATCCAATGGAAAGCAGATGCTTTCTCGTTTCCAGATATATTTTCCAAGGATGATATGGATCTTGGTCATTCCTCAGCTTGTTCATCATCGCATAGAAATTACAGATGAGGTGCCATTCAAACAACGTCATCGGCCTATTCCACCTGCCATGCTTAGTGAAGTTCGTGACCACCTACACCAACTCTTGAACATCGGAGTCATGCGTCGATCACATTCACCATGGGCATCAGCAGTTGTATTAGTTCGGAAAAAGGATGGTCGGTGGAAAATGTGCATAGATTATCGATAGCTGAATCTTAGGACTGTAAAAGATTCTTATGCTCTTCCTATTGTGGAAGAGATTTTGGACACTTTTTCAGGTTGTGACTACTTTTCTACACTCGATATGAAGAGAGGTTATCACCAAGTGGACCTTCACGAGGACCACAAACAACGGACTGCTTTCACTATTGGGCCTTTAGGTTTTTATGAGTTTAATCGGATGCCCTTCGGATTAGTGAATGCTCCAGCCACATATTAGAGATTAATGGAGGAATTAATAACCCGCTGATATGAGTTTTGACCACTGCCAAGATAGATGCAACCCGACATTGGTGGCTAGCTATATTATCTGCATATGATTTTAACATCATTTATAAGCTAGAAAGGACCAATACCGATGCGGATATCTTGTCAAGATTGCCTTGCCACTTTGAGGGAGGGAGCAGTCTACATCCGTGAATGATATCTTTCTTGATTCGGTCAAGGCCATATGAAGTTCTGTTCAGCAGTCAGCAAGCTATGTTGCGATCTTTTGACAGGTTGAAGATTGAGAGGGGTGTACTGTACCGTGGAGTTACAGAAGATGGAGCAACACGGAAGCAGCTTGTGTTACCATCTGCTTATCGGAAACAGACATTATATGGTGTCAATAATTCTGTTGGACACCCCGGTCGTGATCAGACATTGTCTTTGTTGCGGGAGAGATTCTATTGGCCGGGAATGAACCAAGTCGACGAACTGTCGACGCTGTGTGTCAAGGAAGGCTGTTACTCAGAAGGCACCATTAGTGAATATTCAAACGACGCAGCCACTAGAGCTAGTGTGCATGGATTTTCTCACGTTAGAGTCATCCAAAGGAGGCTTGGGACGTTAATGCACGATACATGTACGTGTTGTAAGTGTATTTATACTGTATTTAAAGTGTATTTATAGTACATCTATAATGTATTGATAGTGTATAAATGTCATATCATAATCAGGTAATTGGAATTTCAAGGTTCGAAGTATTGTAAACGTTTATGATAATGTATAAAGTAAAATAACTTTTTTGCTGGAGTCATAAATTTTATTCTTATATCATTGAATAATTCCTTATTGGAAAATATCAGAAATAAGTACCAGAAAGTGTTGTAATTTTATTATCTTCGGCCAAGTTCGATGACCACTTTCAGCGGACCCCATTTGACGGAGTTATGGCCCGTTAAGTAATGAAAAACGTCATTATCTGCCGCGTTTCGTTTCCGTGCAATAGTTACAACAAATGTTAACCGATTTTCTTCAAACTTGTTCACATGGTTAAATGCCTGAAGGGCTCGGCCATGTGCGATGACCGCAAATATTATCCGATTGTCTTCAAACTTAGTAACAGGGTTCAACTCATTAAGGGCTCGGCCAAGTTTGACAAGCACTTGAATCGGACTCCATCTGGCAGAGTTATGGCCCCTTGATTAACGAAAAAAGTCATTATCTGCAGTTTCCGCTTAGTAACTCTAGCAAATATTAGCCAAATTCCTTCAAACTTGATAACAATGTTTGTGTTCCTCTGTCTTTCAACTCATCTCGGGCACGCTTTAGTTTTCGTGTAATAATTGCTGTAGATATTATTCAGATGTTTCAACGAAATTCTGTTTGCACATCCGACTCATGCTAAGTTTGCCAACCGATGTGATTTGTGCATATTTACGGATATTCAATGAGGTATAGGGCTTTTTTTCTTCCAGTTTCAAGCTATACATTATGTTTCAACAGCACGATACTCACATGTTTAAACCTAACCTCAATAATGTTAACCTACAATATGTCCTCCAAGCGGGGGATATACATTCCACGGATTTGCTTGTTTTTATTTCAGTTTTTGCCACAGGCACAAAAAGTAAAAATGCAGATATTTTCTGAATATCATTTTTGTCATCAACCAGGTTCTGTTAATATTTCTAGCGGGAGATATTTTCGAAAAGAGCCGACATTAAACCAATGGGTCTAAAATTCATCAGCTTTTGATTACTATTTGTTGAAAATATAAACGAAACAGTTAACATTTTTGAAAATCTGTTTATAGTCTTTATACATACTTAATAAATGCATGACCACTCATAAAATAAACAATGGATAATGCATTTATGTCGAAATCAACAGTAATTTTCCAGACAACCAACCCGAGTTAAACGCCATTTTTCGGTATTACTTTTTTCACAAGGCGTGCTGATTTATAAACTAGGTATAATTTTTATTCGGCATCCTTACCTGTCAAACCTCGGTGACAGTAACAAAATGTGAAACTAGAACATATAGCTGAGCTTGACGTTTGATATTTGGACTTCAAAAAGAATCGCAAGGAAGCAAAATATACATTTTACATGTACTATTGTGTGAGTTATGTTTCCTTCCACCTCCATATTTGCTGGGCTAACAGAAATGTAAATACCGGTGCAATACTCATTTGTTAGCTTTGATTTGTTTTATTTCACCTTATATACCACCTCAATCATGAGCCAGGGTCAAAGTCAGAGATCCACTTTGTCTTTGACCTTTGGACCCAAATGACCTTGACCATTAACCCAGTGACCCTGATCTTTGGTCTGTTGACTTATTCTTTAATTCTGACCAAATTTGCTTCTTAATATCATAACAAAATGTTCATCAGTGAAAAATAAAAAAACTTGACCTTAACCCTCGTAACCTGGACCTAAGGTCAGTTGACTCTGTGTTAAGTTCTGAACAACATTGCTTCATAATGTCATAACAAAATGTTCATTAGGGAAAAGGTACAAATTTTAACCTTGACCTTTGACACAGTGACCTTGACCTTTGGTCAATTGAATCTTTGTTTAATTCTGAGCTACATTTCTTTAAAGTGTCATAGCGAAATGTTCACCAGTGAAAAGATACAAAATTTAACCTTGACCTTTGACCCTGACCTTTGGTCAGTTGACTCCTTGTTTAATTCTGATCAACTTTGCTTCATCATGTCATAACAAAATGTTCATCAGTGAAAAGATGCAAAATTTGAACTTGACCTGTGAATCTAATGACCCTGACCTCGACTTTTTACCTCAGTGTGTCTCATTGTTTAATTCCGAACAACTTTGCCCCATAATGTCATAGCGAACTGCACCAGTGAAAAGCTGCAAAATTTGACCTTGACCCCTGACCTGATGACTTTGACCTTTGGTCAGTTGACTCCTTGTTTAATTCTGATCAACTTTGCTTCAAAATGTCATAACAAAATGTTCATCAGTGAAAAGATGTAAAATTTGACCTTGACCTTTGAACCTAATGACCTTGACCTTTGACCTTGAACAGGAACAAAATTTGTGGACGGACAGACAGACAGTGATTACTATAGGGCACCCGTATCTCTGATACAGGGCCCTAATTAAATCCGATGTTTCAGGATGGAATAGGAATTGAGACTTCATATCGATATAACGAGAATCTCAGTTACATTTAAGTATTACAATGTTTTCATTGTTTTCTTTTCTTTGTTTAACTTACATCTCTATACATTTACTTGGACTTTTCGTCAGATATGTAATATGCACCTTTTTCTATTGCAATTACCCAACATGTTTTCCCAACTTATCTCATTTGTTCGTGTCCTGGTGGAAGCACGCAGAGGATTTAATTCTTAAATTGGGATGAAGCCAGAGTATTCTGAGAAAACCTGTGTGGTCGGGCAGGCGACCGGGATTGAAACCGGCCATCTTGGTGAAGACGAGCGCGCTATCCAATGCGTGGTCCACCATATACGTTACGGACAAGAACAAATGGCTACTTTAGCTTTGACTGGAAGAAAATGGCGTCATTGATGCAAAAATTAAAATTATATTGTGAATATATTTTTATCATCCATCTATGATACAAACAAGAGGCCCATGGGCCTTAACGGTCACCTGAGTCCTACAGTATTTATTTTTGTTGTTGAAATATGTACCAATTTGAGTAAAAAATAGTTAAGTATAATGGCAGCCAAATTGTAATTTTGATTGACCCGAAAAATAACAACACTTTGTCAGGACCATGAGTCGATGATTCCTACTTACTTTCAGTTCAATCAGCCCAGCAGAACTTGACTTTAAGTTTGAAATGTAAAATGTTAACGGACGACGGACGACGGATGACGACGGACGAAGACGGATAGCAATAGGTCACTTGAGCTAAAGCTCAGGTGACCTAAAAATCTACATACGGGACACCGGGGCAAATCCGGCCACCCCTGATATTTTTGTTTTGGGCTAATATTTACAACTTTAAGGATCTTAGCAGTTTAGCTGGCTGGGCATTCACACGAAATGGCGAGGCAATTACTCTAATGTAAAATTACTAAACAGGAGGAAATAACTTTTGAGAGGGCATATAAAGAAAATCATGATCTCGCTTCTAGTTATGCAAACTTTCTGTAAACGAAATTGCTACTTTTTTATGGTCAAACGTGTAACACACCGACAGCACCAAATGATATATATAAAAGCTAAGAAAAGCACTCACTACCCTATTTCTGTATGATAAGAAATTATTGAAATATCAATTTTGGCCCGGACAGATTTGGCCAATGATACTGTGGCAAGTGTTCGGCCCATGTAAAACATAAAAAGTCATAAAATTGGTCCAAGTTTGGTTTGTCTAGCACTTATACTTTCAAAGAAACTAACTTAAATGCAAAAGCTTAATGCCGATGGAGATGTTGACAAAGTCAAAGGACCATGAAAGTAGGCCACATTCAGTATTCGATGCATGGGTTGAGATGTACTACCTCAGGTGCATCTACATTGTATGGTGCAAGTTTGGTTGGTGTAGCACTTATACTTTCAGAGAAACTAACTTAAACACAAAAACTTAATGTTGACGACGCCGTCGCCGGAAAAGCAACACATGTATCTAATAAATGAAACATTTGACAATATCTTCAGATAGGAACTCTTTAGGGAAGAATATGTACACCACATTTAGGTTACATACATCTTTAACCCACTGAGGAATTAAAGGCAACCCTCTTTGTTTCTTTTTCCTGGTAGATTAATAATCAAACATTGTGCCTATCTGAAAACCGTATTTCAGTCCAGGAAAAAATCTGTATATCTAGTTCAGTAATACTGATGTTGTTTCACGGTCACTTGACCTTGGAAGCAAGACTTTTGACCTTGGAAAGGATATTGTAGTGAGTTAAAAGTCCCCAGTGGTCACTAGGATACTTCCCACACTTAGCTACACGTTCCAGTCCGACGAGTTCCAAATAGACAGGCTCAATCGTAGGTGGCTCTGCTCCCCTTATGTACAAACGGTCAAATCGTAACTTGGGCTTGAACTTTCCAGGGAAGACCAAGTTGTCGTTACGAGACATGTCCCAAGTGTAAGCTGCCTCTGGCCTTTGACCTGTCTTTTCCCAGATATCGTGAACACCAGGAGGCGGACCTCCTATACTGGCCACCTAAACAAATAAAATTTTAATGGTTAAACACATACCATAGCATACAGGATTCTCAAAGTGAAAGTTTACATGAGTTATCTATAATTCCTCTTTCTACTTAAAACATTTATGAGCTAAAATGGGGGGGGGGGGGGGTTGAATTGATCAAATTCTTTTGGTAGAATCCACTCTTTTAAAATCACTGAAGTAAACTCTAGAAATGCTATAATTTGGTAAAACATCAAAAAACATAATGTTATGTGATACTTAAATATTCAAATCTAGAAAATGTCTGTTTCAGTGATTGATGTTCTATAAATACTTTAAATAGTAACAACCACTTTGATCACGGGACGGGACAAAACGGACATGGGCAACACTATATATATGCCCCTTCCCCCCCATTTTATGATGGGGGGGCATAAAAACTGAATCTAAATAGAATAGGAAAAACGTTTATAATTCTCTTTGCTATTAATAATGAAATATAATTTAATCATGTATTAAATATTTTCTGAAACATTTTCTTTATGTCAGTAAAACAGCTAGTACAAGGTTCATATATCACAACCAGTAAAACATTTATTTGTGTTTCAAATCCCGAATGCTGTTGTGTTCTAACCAACCAATTAAAAATAACAACAATAGTTATCAGATCACACGGGATATAGACTGTACCCTCCTATATATCAGACAGTGATCAAAGTTCCAAACATGACACACCATCCCTGGAGCTGCAAAGTTGTATCTAACCACTAATGTTAGTGCCATGTCATCCTTGAATGCAGTGAATAAGAAGTAGCAAGAAAAACTCACTTATATCATGGAACATGGTCAAAAAGTCAGGTGTACCCATTGAAAACAGCATTCAGCTTGAAGTCTTTCCAATTTCTTTCTTTACATTGACAAAAAGATTTTATTTTGTCACTAGAACAAGAAAGGTGGCTTGATCACAGAATCTGGGTTTGATCATGAAAACGGTTTCATGAATACGGTCCCAGATTTAACATACCAATATAATTCAAAATATGATTCCAACAAAAATGATATTTTTGAGATTTTTGTGTGATTTTTTGTGAAAAATATACCAAAAATCAAATCACTGAAAGACTCTTAATCTTGTTCCTTTTGAATATAAACAATAAAATAATAAGTAAAACTCTTACTAACCTCCTTGTCACGTAGGTTGAGATCTCCTCCAAATATGACAGTAGAAGATTTTGAGGATTTCTGCATCACACGAAACGCCTTTTGTAGCTGCTGCACACGTTCCTTTGAATGATCTTTGGTACTTTCTAAATGAGAGGTCATCAGCACCAAGCTCTCTCCTTTAATTTTACACTGTAAGTAAGAGTTATTCCCCGTTATCTAAAGATAATGTTGTAAAAGAAACATGGTTGTCTCCCTTTACACAAATACAATGGCTGTTTTTCCATCAATGCTTAACGGCCCATCCACTCAGGGTAGGTCATTAGGGCAAACCAATGGTCAACAAAAATAAATACAAAATAAAAACATCAAACAAACTTCAGGTAAAAAGCAAATGTCAATTTGAATATTGAAAGTGGCTATGGTGACTCAAATTTTATTAAAAAGAATAACAGCTTTCAGATAGCCTAAAGTTGAAGAGAATTAGAAATTTTCTTGAGTTGACTAAACGTCGATAAAATCTAATAACAAGTGCTTTACTGTAAATGCATGGTTCCTGACACGCTAGGAGGTTCCTCATCATCTGTGTGTTAGGGAAGGGTAGTGGAATACCTACCTGTACAAGTAGGAGGTTCCTCATCATCTGTGTGTCAGGGAAGGGTAGTGGAATACTTACCTGTACAAGTAGGAGGTTCCTCATCATCTGTGTATTGGGGAAGGGTAGTGGAATACTTACCTGTACACGCAGGAGATTCCTCATCATCTGTGTATTGGGGAAGGGTAGTGGAATACTTACCTGTACACGCAGGAGATTCCTCATCATCTGTATGTTAGGGAAGGGTAGTGGAATACTTACCTGTACACGCAGGAGGTTCCTCATCATCTGTGTATTGGGGAAGGGTAGTGGAATACCTACCTGTACAAGTAGGAGGTTCCTCATCATCTGTATATTAGGGAAGGGTAGTGGAATACCTACCTGTACAAGTAGGAGATTCCTCATCATCTGTGTATTGGAGAAGGGTAGTGGAATACTTACCTGTACACGCAGGAGATTCCTCATCATCTGTATATTAGGGAAGGGTAGTGGAATACTTACCTGTACACGTAGGATGTTCCTCATCATCTGTGTATTAGGGAAGGGTAGTGGAATACTTACCTCTACACGTAGGAGGTTCCCCATCATCTGTGTGTCAGGGAAGGGTAGTGGAATACTTACCTGTACACGCAGGAGATTCCTCATCATCTGTGTATTGGGGAAGGGTATTCGAATACTTACCTGTACAAGTAGGAGGTTCCTCATCATCTGTGTGTCAGAAAAGGGTAGTGGAATACCTACCTGTACAAGTATGAGGTTCCTCATCATCTGTGTATTGGGGAAGGCTAGTGGAATACTTACCTGTACAAGTAGGAGGTTCCTCATCATCTGTGTGTTAGGGAAGGGTAGTGGAATACTTACCTGTAAAGTAGGAGGTTCCTCATCATCTGTGTGTCAGAGAAGGGTAGTGGAATACCTTCCTGTACAAGTAGGAGGTTCCTCATCATCTGTGTATTGGGGAAGGGTAGTGGAATACCTACCTGTACAAGTAGGAGGTTCCTCATCATCCGTGTGTCAGGGAAGGGTAGGGTTTGATGGTGTATTAGCTCTACCTGGTCCACCTTCAGTAATATACAGGGGTAATATTCCTCGTTTCCCCCGGTAATGACCTGATAAGTAGGACAGCCAGATNAGTAATATACAGGTGTAATATTCCTCGTTTCCCCCGGTAATGACCTGATAAGTAGGACAACCTGACTCCAAAATTACTTGTGTTAGGGCTGTCACTTCCTGTAGAAACACGACATGAGGATGTTCCCTGTTAACGAGGTAAAAATTAACTATGATTACGTTAAGACATTGTGAAAGTGGGAACTACAAGTTCACATTTAAAGTCATAGAGATTTGTTTGGAAAGATGAGAGCTTCACATTCAAATATAAGTTCATTATAATGTTCAGAGTTTGTAAAAATGAGAGCTTCAAGTTTACATTTAAAGTTCACCATTATGTTGAGAATTTGTAAAGATAAAAGCTTGAAGTCTACAACAAGTACACACTTATTGATGATGTCACAAACGGCTTTAGTTCGTCTTTTGATGCTGACGTCATCGAGTCCATCAATGTTCCAGGAGAGAAGTCGAATCCTGTGTGGTTCTGGATCAGACTCCTCTACTCTGTAAGGTACCATGTATATGTTAAACTATACAACTTAATGTCGACAGGTGTTTATTTACATACTTTATTGTCTACAGGTGTTTTATTACATACCTTAATGTCCACAGGTGTTAAATTATATCCCTTAATGTCTACAGGTGTTTAATGACATACCCTAATGTCTACAGGTGTTTAATTATATAACTTAATGTCTACAGGTGTTTAATTATATAACTTAATGTCTACAGGTGTTTAATTATATAACTTAATGTCTACAGGTGTTTAATTACATACCTTAATGTCTACAGGTGTTTAATTACATACCTTAATGTCTACAGGTGTTTAATTACATCACTTAATGTCTACAGGTGTTTAATTATATAACTTAATGTCTACAGGTGTTTAATTATATAACTTAATGTCTACAGGTGTTTAATTATATAACTTAATGTCTACAGGTGTTTAATTACATACCTTAATGTCTACAGGTGTTTAATTACATACCTTAATGTCTACAGGTGTTTAATTACATAACTTAATGTCTACAGGTGTTTAATTATATAACTTAATGTCTACAGGTGTTTAATTATATAACTTAATGTCTACAGGTGTGTAATTACATACCTTAATGTCTAAAGGTGTTTAATTACATACCTTTATGTCTACAGGTGTGTAATTACATACCTTAATGTCTACAGGTGATTAATTACATACCTTAATGTCTACAGGTGTTTAATTGTATACCTTAATGTCTACAGGTGTTTAATTGTAAACATTTTATGTCTACATTTGTTTAATTGTGTTATATTAATTATATAGTAATTACGTGATGTGTAGATAAATTATACTGCTTCTGTAATTATGGGACCTTTTTCTGTTATCTTTAGACAGGGTGACAGCTGTGATGAGACTTACAGAGTCTTCTTAGTATTTACACATAGGGTAAACAATATTCGGGCATGTCAGTTTTGACTGGGGCAAAGTGGTACAACCACTTGGTTATCTCCCATTTGTGTGCACACAATCTTCTGTCACCAAGAAGTACCACCAATTTAGAAAGGCAGACAGAGCTGCTTGCAATATTGTGTCCCATGAAATGTCTCAAAGTTCAAAATTAAATGAATATTTGCGACAGTTAAATAATGATTTCCCGCCACAAAGTCTCATACATAGGAACTAAGTCAGTGTACGTACACTTACAGCTATTACTGAATTGACTTCAATTTCGTTGCCAACCCATGTTTACTTTACACCACATAACAGATTACATATATCTTACTAATAATAGAAATGTCACGCTCAAACATTTCACTGGTATAAAACATTGAGACCCCTTAGACCACGGATACTCCTCGTTAAATTTGTTTAAAATCCCTTCAACCATACTGTGGAAGGATTTATACGATTTACTGAAGTTATTCCCATATTATGCACACCATATCTTTCAGCGATTCTCTTTATACAACATTGACTTCCCTTTACCAAACAATGCTCCTGACCGCATTTTGTCAAAATCCACTCAGCTGTTCTGGATTAGTAGCTTTTTAAGGAAAAACATTAACTGATGACTGTGTACCGCCACGGCATAATCTCACATGGAGTTCTTCAGGTCAGGAAACAAAATATATTTCCTAAATATAATCTTCTGATATTAGCAACTGCAAATAAACATACCTTGACTTCTTTTTATGACATTCACTATTCTCTCCATCATCAGCCATTTTTCTCTTACAGTCTTTTTTTTCAGGCCCACAGTTCGATTCGTAAAATTTATTCAGGGCTGTCTGCAATAAAATAACAAACAGAATTTGACACAAACATTTGGTTTATTTTATTATATTGTATTGGACAAAGATAACAGATACTTTTTCCGGTGTCAATGGCGATGGCCGCTTTTGTTCTCAGCTCCGGCTGAGCTGAGGTATTTTTGTAAGTTTTCAGCTACTAAAGGCACTTACTTAACAGAAATTAGTAAGCAAACAGTGTATTTGTCAACTCCTCTCCTCTACACAAAATGTGATCCAGATGAGAAATCATCAAATACAGATATGCCAGGATCTGGTACATCGAGCCGGGATGTAAACAAACACAGGACTTGACTATTGCCAGGAAAACTCGTACAGGATCAACCAAAGGATCTTAGGATAATGGGAAAGCAAGGGAAGATGTTTTTAAAACCCCATGGGACGAAGAATCTTGGGCTTGTAAGCTGTGTAGCAAGATATTTCTCGCTATTAGTACCCACAAGGCTTTCCTCAACATACAGAAAGTCAATCAGAAGGAACTACAACAGTTTCAGCTACGTAACCAAGTGAAGAACCTGAAGGTCAGCAAGGGGAAAGAGAAAAAAACACACCTGAGGTGATACATTGAACAGCTTAAAGCCAATAGTGAGGAACTCAAGAGGACAAGCAAAATACTACGCCGCAAGCTGTCCCTAGATACAGTAACAGTAGAGGACAAACAGGATACTACGCCGCAAGCTGTCCCTAGATACAGTAACAGTAGAGGACAAACAGGATACTACGCCGCAAGCTGTCCCTAGATACAGTAACAGTAGAGGACAAACAGGATACTAC